ATACGGTTGCTTCAGGACGCCATGACTGTCTCAGTTCGGCGGTAAACTTTTTGGGTTTAAACCAGCAAAAGTCGCTCAAGGGCAACGGCTGGCTCATTGGCCCAACCGTACAAGTTGTTTACGTCCAAATACATCAAGTAAGAGTCTGGTTTAAAGGGGTCGTAATCGAGAAATGGCAGTTGTTGGCTTTAATGTAACGAGCACTACCAATGCCAGAAATACCACCTTGTTTGCCCGTTCAAAATAAGTGCGTGTCAACCTCAATAGTTAGAACTCGATATCGCTGTGTTGTAACAAACCGTCCCACGACAACCCCGGTGCTGTAAAATAGTTGGCTGGGTCTAAACCGTGGTTGGCTTTACAAATGCGTCTAAAATTAAAAAGAAAGCAAGTAAGAACGTGTCGGTCTGTATGTACAACTCGTGCTGCTTACCACACTTGGTGAGCTCTAGTGTATTCTTCCGGGGTTACGCTTTTGTGTTCGAGGCTACTGTAAATTTGCTCGATGTGTGGTAACTTCGGGTCTTTCAAGTTGTCAAACGAGTCTCTGAATACACTAAAAGAGTCTGAAGAGATGGTTGAACTGGAGTAGAGACAGGCTTTCACTAGCCACAGAGTTAAATGAGTCTATAAAACGCAGTTGGCCGAAAGAAAAGCTAAACGTGTTTTTCAGAGTTTTTCGCAATACAAAATAATTTCTCGTTTTTAAATTCAGACACGCCTTGCATAATTAGATGGGCGTCATAGTTTTCTAGATTGTGCAGAACGTCACGTGTAAAGCCTTTGGGTTTTTAAACGAATTATCTTTTTGTTTTTCCTTCTTTTGTCTTGGGTTCTTTCCGGATAGCTTGCGCTGGCAGTTCGTTGCGTAGTTTCGGTACACGTTTTTTTCCTGCAGATCCAACACCTGTTACAGTTGTTATATTGTTCTCGATTATTCCTCAGGGGTGCAAGAGAGATTACCGGTGCTCTCAAACACTCAGTTAATTTCGGCTTGCTCTTGAACCAGAGACTTAACAAAATGTGTTGGAGCGTCTGGGCCTCTGTAGGTCTGTTGACGTTGGCTTACCACTTGTGTGGTAAGTCGACGTTCGTTCTTCGTGAACTCGACATCCGAGGTCTACTTTAGCTTGGTTTTTGATCTTATTCGTGTTGCAACCCAAGGCTGCTATATCAGGCACCAGCGGTTACAGCGAAGAGACGGGTGCTTGGGGTTTAGAGTGTTGTCATCACTTGTGAAATGAGAGAAAAAGTTTAGATTTTTAAAAAAACATTTTGTTAAATTTTAGTCGAGCAGGTATACAGGGTCTCCTTTTAACGTTTTTTTAATCTTAGGATTTTGAAAAATTTAGCTGGGTACGTTCCCAGAGTAAAATGGAGAAAAAGTGTGTTGACTAGAAACCCCCATCCCTAATTTTACATGTAAATACCTTTTCAGAGCCTGCTGGAAACTCTCAAGATAATTGAAGAGTGGATTTCCAGATCCCAACCATGAACATGTAGATTTATGTAATTTGTTTTGTTTTCTTGATATAATATTTAGTTAGAATTTCACATTGTTCAGACAGGCATATTTCTCAAAAGATTTACGTGCACAACTTTGCTTATAGCTAAAACTGTGTAACCACACAGCTGAAGCCTATTACCAATAGACATCCAATATTCAGTCTTTCATACTACGTATTGGGTTTCAATAATTCTGTGTGTGTGAAATGTTTTAAATGTTTTGAAGTGAAACTGATTAATGAAACCGAACGTTTTTCAAAGTACGTCGCTGTAACTGCCCCATTGGAAGTTTGAGTGTTTACTCTAACCAGGTATTTATTTCAGCTATTATAATTAATTACATTTCAAATCTTTGTAAATACGTGTATTCTTTGCAAGAGATTTTGTATTGCTAAATGTAACAGTAATTCAGTCAAATGTCTTTGCAGGCTTTTGTGATGATACGCGTAATTTACATTCAGTGCTGAAAGGTTTGCTTTTTTTACTTACTCTGTTTGAAATGATTTTTTTGGTGATTTTACCATGATAAAATCGCTATGAAATTATACTAAATCTTTAAAAAAAGATGAACGCCTAATGTGTCATGTGTCTAATGTTATAGGTGGTTGTTTTGAATGACTAAATGCAAAGCAGATGGCAACCGTTAAATCATTTCAGACACCTTTGAATTCAATTACGATTAAAGTACATTTAGGTCAGTTTGACAAATACATACTTAAATTCCATTAATTGATCTGGCTTAATACTTATAACTACTTTTAAGAAGTCGTTTTAACAGAAGACGGGATTAATGTTTATAAGTTAGAATGACTAATTTACATTTATAGAATTTTTATCGAAATATTTACAGTATTTTCAATTTTTTTATTAGTTGGTAACGGTTTTGCTTTATTTTCGTCTGTACAAAATGGATTTGTATAGGAGTAAATAGGTCATGGTGCACCATGAGACGATTGTCAACATCTGTATAGCGTGTTTGCTTCGTCCGAGTGAAGTGTGATGTTTTGGGCTGTGTTAAAATCATTGGCCATTCTCTGAATGACTAATACGTGCATGGAGAGGCTTAAGGTGCAGAACTTAGAACAAAACAGACACTTTGAGCTTCATTATCTGGCCTCTTTTTTTCCTCAGATAACCTTCCGGGAACTGGTGTCGTTTGCCGAGAAGCAAGGCTTAGAGATCATGGAGAATTTCCGAGGCTACAAACGACAAGAGATCACCGACCTGCAGAGCTACTTTGGGGCCATCATGGAGTGCCTGCTGCTGAACATGAAGAGAATCTTCGTGCAGGTACACATGTAAATACAAACGGAGTGTGCATACGGCATTGATAGCTGGCTGCCATTAAAGGAACCATCAGCATTATTTTACAACAACCGTTGAGAACGTGCTATTTTTAAAAGGTACCGGTATTTTGGCGCTTTGTCGATTTCTATGCAGATGCGAAATTTCATGTGTATTCTTAAACTGAAAACCAGAACGTAGCATTGATTTTGCGCAAAAGTACTGAAAGTTTTTTTGTTCTCCTAAATGTTCTTTTGTTGGTTGTGTAAGTACATTGGAATTGGTCAATGACCGACCCTTTTCAGATATGTTTAGGCCTATATACAGCAAATATAGAAACTGAACATTGACTCCCTTGATTAACATCACGGCAAACAGCACCCCAGGCCAGCTGTCCAGTAAAGATCGGACAATTTGAAATGTTTTTTTAAGTGTGCGATTCACTATACTTAACCCCCAAAAGAGTGACACTGTTCAGTAGTTTTATACTTTGAAGAAGAGTTCAAAGATGCACACAGAGTGTGTCGAGGAATAGATCATCTCACGGACGTTTGATATAAACCTTTAGACGTAAGCAATGCACTGTGGGACTGGTTGACTAAAAGGCAACTCATTCGATGGACAACGGAAGAAGTGTACCTGTAAACCATGGCGTTTCCACTTTATGAAATGATGGAAATCAAGCGTTCATAAACATCAAGGTTTAAGGTTAAGAAAAAAAATTGTTCAAAAAAAAATGTAAGGAATACTTTCCATGCATGCATGTTTTAGTTTTGATCTGACCCACATCGTTGACATCAATGAGCTAGTATTGGCCCATCAGAAGTAGGGATTTTATACCCATTCATGCTGCATCAACCAATCACGTTCATTTTGCAGCCTAATGTAACCTGTGTCCTTTTAAAGACTGGTTTCAATATCGACGTAAGAAACGCGTAGAGCAACGCAATCAAGAACCAAACTGCAACGCAGACATACGGAAACGTCAAACGGAGGTGTCGCCAACAACCCAGACAAACGCAAACCAGCCCGTGAACGATCAGCAAGGTTGAGTTAGATTAAACTTTGCCGACTGTCTCCCTCGAGTTGCCATGGTATCCCCTTACAAACACGCATGCTGGCATGACCGGCGTGCCACGATGTCCCTCTCGCTTTGTGCCACGAATTTTGCTCATTTTCCCCTTAAGGCTTATATATTACTCCTCAGTGATCATCTGAAGCTGTCGGTGAAATGCGTAAAACTGGAGTGGAGGTTTGGCATCCTGAGACGATAAATCTAAAAGCCCATTTTTCAGGAAAAGAAATCACAGAGTTTCGGACGACATTTTGTTTCATTTTTGGGTGGAATGACGTCATACTCCGTGTCTTCAGTTCGTGTCTGCGCCTTCACGTCTTACATTCAGTCTGTGTTACAAACGGCTATGCACAACCCTGAAAGAGCCGGGGCTAGATTCTGCCCCTCGACATTTATTTCCGATATCGACGATGTGCATTTTTTTTTCAGGAGCTGAGACTTTAGGACTTTTTAGAGTAACTCTTTGTAGTAATTTTGACACCAAATTTGTGAAAATCCAAATACCGTTATCGCGCAGTGCGCATTTTTCCGAGACCAAAAGTCAGCCAAAAGTGTATACTTTCTCCACTGGAGTTGCTCAGTGCACGCGGGCACTTCAAATGACAGTCACATCAGAACCATACATTTCATTGAGTAAAAAGCGAGCGCGGGACAGGTGAGTGCTAGAGGGGGTGGTTTCCGCCCCGGTTATGAGATGGAGCAGAATAATCTGCCTCATTTAGGGTTGGTAAGACATGCAGGGGCGATTTTTTCTCATAGGCTTTAGGACATTTTGACACTTTAAACTATTTGTACACGATGTGTGCGTCTCTGATCTTATAGTTTTTTTCAATTTTGGACTTCGCCTATAGGTTTATGCATAAAATGCATGACCTGTTTGTGATCACAATTTTGCTATCACTTTGCAAACATGTTTGGATGCTTAATACTTAGTCTTCAAGTCCCAAACACCAATGTCCAGTGGCCACCCATTAAAAATCTAAACGCGCTTAGCATTGACATAATTCTGCAAACTGATAGCAAACAAATGTTTTAAAAAGTGTTCATTGACTAAATACAGTTTTTGCAGTGAACATGTTTTTTAGTTGATGCAATTGAAATGGAATACCTTATTTCATGGTGATGGACCTGACGGAAGGATACCTTCTAAAACGTTTCTCCGGCCTCTTCAAACAGCTTCAAGGTGGTTGCACTTCTCTCTAGATCGCCCCCCCCCCTGTTGCGCTTTTCGTCCAAACGTTTTGGCGAGTAGTGCATACACCACCGAAAGTTATGTACATAAGTTGACAAGAATCCCAGTTGAGTACCAGAAAATTTGTTTGTTTTTAATCAGTGGAAATTACGGCGAATTTTATTTTCATTTTGTAGAAAAGAAATTTAATTTTAATATTTTAATTAATTTTTTAATTCAACTTTTTGTGTATTTATAGAGCTCTGACGTGAGCCGTACAATTGGCATTGACACTGGCTACCTCGATACGCTGGACTTCAACATGCAGAAAAAAGACCAAGATTACTTGGTGCAGGTGAATCCCTTTCATGATTTCAATAAAGTACTCTTAAAAACCTAAAATGTCACGCATCACCTTTTGCCGTTTTCATGCGTTTTATGGGGGGGGGGTTTATCATTAAGAATTTCTCCCCCCACCTACAGCGGGTTGAGTCTACTACCGCATTCATACCTGATTACCAATCTCTTTTTCTTAGCGAATGGAAGTAATGGACTAGGAAATAGCGCATATGTATTGGTAATCTGCGTAGGTTGCAGGCAGTAGACTCGGCAGTTTCGAGTCTGGACAAGTCTTCAACGTCAGCAGATCAGTGAGGGCTACCACTAACAAACTTCCTAGCGTTTGTTTTTTTAAGTGTGTGGCCTCATCGATAATGAAATTTGTCTTTGCTTTATGCGATCAATATACATGTTTACATTCCTATTCGCTCAGCATTCGAAACTCCTTTCAAACACAGAAAAGAAATTAGTAGAAATTGATAATCAGTAATTTTGATTGGAATGTTATATTTTAAATTTCGACTGTTCGTTACAAATGGTGATTCTGAAGACCACCGTAAATTCTAAACATCAAAACGTCTAAGCTTAACTACAATACCAAAGTTTGTTCAATCAGTTTGTAAGACAAAACCCTTCTCAATTCACAACCATTCAACCCGTAATTTATCGAATGATTTTTCGAATGTCTTCACTTAACAATTATGTTGTTAATTTAAAGCATAATCACAGATCACACAGGAACGGCCTAATGTGTAATATATGCATATTTTATTGCAGGATAAATTAAAACGATTTGACAAATTGAAACACTTGAAAAGCTAATCAGATATTACATTACGGGGAAAATTATTGATTTTGGTGTCCTTTGTTGACCTCTGTTTTGGTTTGTTTTCCTTGGGGAGGAGGGGGAAAGCTAGGATTATAACGCTGGTTTACCAGAGAAACCTAAGATTCATAAAGCACTGGGGGGTTTTGTCGACTGGCTGAATTTCAAAACATTATTTATGCCAAATTCCGTTAAAAAGTATATTGGCAAGACTGAGGAGCAGACGAGAAGAGACAAATGCATCAGTGTTTTATATAAACAGCAAATGCGATCGCAGCAGAAACAGTGATCAGGGCATACTCGTCTTCCACGAGCACAGCTTGGTACACGAACAGAAACTCGCTGGTCTCCGTCGTGGTCAGAGTGAAGAGAGTTACGTGTAGCACATGCGCAGTGCTTCAATGTCTCCCATACAGAGCGCATCTCCTGTAATTGGCGCGCAGCAATACCGCGGCTATCCATTCTCGTGACAAAGATGACACAATTACAACGCAGTAGACACGACACATCAACTGTACGAAAGATCACCGTTAAATTATCCATCTTTTTTTTTGGCCGGCAACATCGCCAGTGGGCGCAAGCGTGAATGATACTTGCGCGCTTGCAGTATATCACGTGATCATTTCGTGACCAATAAAAATTAACTAATAACTATAACTGTGGTTTAACAAGATATTTTGTTTCTTATTTTTTTCTTCACAGCAAGGGAAACTCGGCTGCATGGCTTTCCTTCGCGAGCTCATTTCAACGGGAAAGATGACCCACAAGACATGAACTTGCAGGGTGGCAGATCGTGGCGGTCGGCAACCTGTCGTCGCAATCTAGATTAGGCGATACTCCATCGCACGGGTTGCGGGATTATACGACTGTTTAGGGCGGAGGCCCGGGTTCGTCAAAGCCTGAAATTTACTTTTGCGGGCGAGACCCATGAGGCTTCCCTGTTTACGTCAACGCAAAACAAACTATATTTTTGGAAGTTTTTAATTGCCCAAATGCGTTTCGATCAGTACTGTCAAAATTTGTAATTCTATTTGTCTTTGGCACTATTGGTAGTACTATGGAAATAATTGAATCGCATTGGATGAAATTATGAACTACTGCTTGAAATACATGTAACCTTTTATGGAACTATTGCATTTTTTGGGGGGGGGGATTCAAACTAGGATATTACGCTGCTGTTTTTTACCGTCTTGTGGGATGTAGTCTTGGTCACTCGCCATTCACGTGGTTGTTGGTTCTTGACTTCTAAAGGGAATTATGTAGTGTTACCACTTTTTAAAATGCGAGGGTTAATTAACTTTGGCAGTTGGTGAGTATTTATTGTGAATCGTTTACTGTGGTCATACGTTCCAGTTCTTTGAAACATTTAATGCTAATAATTTCAAATGAACATTTCCCCTTTTCCTATAGGACCATTTTTGTTCGTTGATATTGTAACATCTGGGGTCTCGGTGACTCGCCAATCACGCAGTTGTCGACTCCTGACCTTTTTATTGCTTGTGGGGGTTCATTTCTTACTTCTTGGAGGTTTTAATGTGGTAATCTGAAGTATCCTTTGTAAGCGCCTCGATCTGCCCTGCCCTCAGAGCCATTGGGATTAAGCTGAATCTTGTTAAGGTTATACTTTGGAGTAATGAGCTGTTGTTTCGTGGGTTTTTGTTTTCACGATGGACACTAATTGATAAACACGAGTTTGGTTGGCGAGTTTTGAAAAGTTACTGTTGAGCTGACGTCGCAGGAGGCAATATTAGGGTTAAGTTAATCTTGTTACGCCGTTTCTCGAAGCTTTTAAAGGAAATACAATTTTTTTTTACTAAAAGCCTTGAAATTGCATTTTGGGGTTTCAATAAACTTCATTTTAAATTTTTTTTTTGCAATTTTAACCGATATTTTGATGCTTTTTTTGGGTTTATGCTAATGCATATTTGCATATTGATAAGCAGAACTATGATGTTATCCAAGGCACTGAATCGCAATGTTGCACTAATTTGTGCACAGAAAATTTCTAGATTTTCTAACCACTGCTATGGCAGATTTCATTTTCTTTGGCAATTTGTTGCTGTGTACGTATGAAGCAATAATCAGCAAAAATACTTTTCACAGAAATGTTCCAAGATAACAAATTTGAGATTCACAATTTGAATATGACAACATGCAACCTGAACCATGTCTTCCTGGATTGACGTCAAAGCAAAAGCGCCCTCACTTGTCCAGAAATGCTAGGTCAATTTTCAGTGTTTGAAAAAGTGCACCGTCCAGGTCACATAACTCAAAAAAGATGTCTATAAAAGAAAAATACAGAGATACACAAAATGTGATTCTAATAAAAAGTTCTTTCCTGGATCCTTTAACATCTCCGAATTTGGTCCAAAAATGCATGTATTTATAAGCTGATAATGGTGGGGTTCCTGTGATTTCCTTGTCAAAACGGGAGATATTCTTAATAAAGTTTAAAAAATTCCAAGACAGCTGCTTTTACCATTTTTGAGACGCTATCGCAACATTCGTTAGTGGATTCCTGTACCTTCCTTATCCAGAAATTAGAAATGTAACACAACTATACCGTTGTATTTTTCCATAGTGTTGGTCATCGTATTATTCTTTCGTATTTATTTAGGAAGGGTGGGGCTCTCTATACTTTGAGAGGTGGCTAGAAGCTCTAGAGCCGATTTTGTCACGAATCCGGCTTATTGGAACTCATTGTTAGGGGTCGTTTGCGTGGAAAGAACAATATAACCAGACTGAATTATAGGCGCATCAATATCTCGCTAAAAGTGAAAGTGATTTTTAATCCATTTATGGGTATATTATCTGACTTCAGATTAGGTAAATGAAAAGGGAGTTATTTGTGCATGGTAGCTTGAGAACGTCGTCGAACTTTTCGCATAATGTTATCTATCAAGACTTGGAAAGGTCAGTTGCGAGGGATAATCATTGTTGACGAAGAAGCTCGAAGAGGGGTTTTGGGATTATCAGATTGTGGTAATAAGGCTCTCTCGACGAGTGGCACGGACCAGGGCGCATACTGCCTGTACCCTTTAACCAGTGACTCGGATGGGACGGCTGGAAAGAGTCTGGTACGAGCCCGAAGGCCTGACATACTGCAGAAGTAGCAGATGTCAACAGCTGGCAAGCCCTAAAACAACAACAACAACTACAAAAAATCAGGTGACATGAACAGGAAGGAAAATGACGAATTAAGTATGATAAGGACGGAGGAGAGGAACGGAGCTTAGGGTTAGAAAAGGCGTAGGTGATAACGCGAAAATTGGATGAGTGGAAGTCAATCTCGGTGTAAGTGCGAACACTGAGTGAAGGGACTAAATGAGAATAAATACCTTTATATAAGGACACGCTTGAATGATAAGCTAAGGAATTCTGCGAGGGTGTGGACGCATAGTAATGAGCATGCAAATTACCTCCCTCGAGTGGACCGAAGGCACGAAACTAAAGTTCTTCACAAAATAACTAACACACTGAAATTTGACAACTGCCTCAAAGTGATTGCCTCAGAGGCAAATGTCAAAGTGTTGACTGCATACGAACCCCCCCTCCGAACTATGCCAGTCAATGTCTTCAGGCTACGTCAAACACCGAAACCCGCTCTTATTTGAGTTATTACAAATACACGTACATGTACTTGAGGTACTTTAGATAATTGGACGTTTTCCGTTTTAAAATGTCGGTGTGTTAACGTTATTTCTCGCCGTCGTTAAGTGCAGAACCTGCTGCACAATTAACCCGGCAGTACCATTCCCTGTTCGAATTGCCCTACCTGAACTGTTGACCGAGCATCATTTACATACCAATGCTATAAAGTAGATTTATTCTAATTCATCCTGGCTCAAAACACAAAGAAATCAACATTTTCTGATTGCTAGGCTAAATATTGGAATTGCAAGAATTGCTAATGTGCGAATTGCTAATTCGTTCACGCAGAGATGGCACCCTCTTGTTCATCGGAACTCCGTAGTTGTACATAATGTAATTCCTCGATCATTGAATTAAAGCACACGGTGAGCGAATATACGGAGCTCAGGACTTGTTCAGATACCGAGATAATATTTCTTATTAATTCGACTTATAAAGTGTATTTAGTCGATTTAACGAGATAAATGATGTAGTCAAGTCGACTTCCAAATTATAGTAAGTCGACTTGGGAGATATTTCTACTTTCTGAATTCCCTATGTCGACTTGGCGAGATAATTTATATTTTTTTCAAGTCGACTTTAAAATTGTGGGAAGACGACTTGGCAAAAAATTTATGAAGTCAATCCAACTTCCTAATTCTGGAAGGTAGACTTGAAAAGATAATCTATGTCAGTGAGTCGATTTCCTAATTCTAGTAAGTCGACTTGGCGAGATAATTTATGTCATCAAGTGTACACCATGCAGGCATGAACTGACTACTCACAAGTATGAACGTGACCTGAAGCGTATTTTCTCGCCAAGTCGACTTGCTAGAATTTGGAAAACGACTTGATAGCAAAATTTGTGTCGACGAGTCGACATAATGAATTCTGAAAGTAGACTTGATGACATGAATTGTATTGCCAAGTCGACTAACAAGAATTGGTAATTCGACTTGAGTATTTAACTTATCTCGCCAAGTTGACACAAGCAAAATCCGGAAGTAGACTTGACAACGAAAAATTATCTCTCCGAGACGACATACCGAGTTCTGGAAGTAGATTTGATGACATAAACTATCCCGCCAAGTCGATATAGGGAACTCTGGAAGCAGGCTTGATGTCATAAAATATCTCGCGATGTCGACTTACTGTACTTAGGAAGTCAACTTAACTACATCATTTATCTCGTTAAATCGACTAAATACGCTCTATAAGTCGATTTACAAAGATAAATTATCTCAGTATCTGAACAAGTCGGATGGCACTCACAGAGCGCCGTACGAATAGCATCATATTATACATGAAAGTGCGTCGTGAGGGCATGCTGACTGTTCCTGCCAGAAATGCTTGTATACGTGGGCTTTTTTGTTAAGTGATGTAAATATTATAGTTTTTTCGGGCCACTTTCGGAAAATGCACTGTTTAATTTCTAAAATAAAAATTTCATTAGGAGTGGATTTTAAAAACGACTTAAAACCTTGTTTCATTTTCGCAGTACGAGCATAGAGGGTTTTCACATTAGCGCCGTCTGCGCATATCCTCATCGGAACCGAGGCTCTCTGTGTTGAACTTAGTCGCGCTTGCCCGCAGAGTCGACACAGTCCATGCAGTATCTGGTTCGTAAGTGTGACTCCACTTCTGTTTAAACCACGCCCACTGCACAAACCACGCCCACTGCGCATGCGGACACACAACCATCACATGTACAGATACGTTTGTTCGCGGTAAATTGCCGTTATTTTTTCTTTTGATTTTACGTGTCTGTCATACTGAAAGACTCTTCCACAAAAATTTGCAGTCTGAAAAGTCTGAATTTAACATACCTTTATGTATTTTGTGTCTTGACTCCTTACTTTCAATCGTCTGACCGTATTAAAAACTGAAACTGACACATACAGCCTCGTTTTCAAATGCAGAAGTGCGCAGATCGACGCTAAAAGCGTCGTATTGGGATCCGTGGGGAAGGCAAGCAGACTTAGGGTGCGTTCGATTAGGTTCCCTGAACACACCAGTGTTACACGCAAGGGCAGCCTCGAAATGAGGGTAATCGAACGCTGCAGTGCAATCGCCAAGGCATTCTGGGAAAAAGGTCAAGTCACCGCCACGTTCCATCATGTACGTCCATGCACGAACAGTCCATCCGTGACGCCATTACACTCGGACAGCCTCCAGGGACCCACTCGCCAGCCGGGGTAATAGTGGCTGACTGACACCAGGGCAGGCACGAGGATCACGTGATGGCTAAACGGACGCTCTCGTGTAAGTTTGACTTACACGTGTAAGCTAATCGAATGCACCCTTACTGTTCATGCCACATTGGCTTGTACACGTGACCTGTTTTGTCAGGTATACATGTACATGTACATCATTTCGCAATCGACCAACGCTTGGCCTACCTCACGTAAGTTCGTAACGGAGACAGCCTTTCCCGACTATGACCGACGCACCCTCAGAATTTGCCAAGAGATCAGGTAATACGAATCTGTACATGTCGCACATTCAAGGACAAGGCGATGGAGGTCAGGCTAGTAAGCCCGTTGTGGCGTCGACTTCCCCCTTCCTCACGCCTAGTCAAAAGGAGGAACTAGAGGGATACGTCTTCCAATTCACTAACTTCTCCGTTGAAGGTGGTGGGAGCAAGGCATTTGCTGCAGTTGGAGCAATTCGGGTCAGTGAGCCTCGTATATACTAGTTTTGTCAACTAATAGAGTTTTCTCTTAACCTGTATATGCAACATAAACCACACACTAATGGCTTTTAATGGTCGACTCCTGAGGATATAAAAATAGAATTTGGTTGACAGGCATGACAGGCGTCCTTTAAATGCCAACTGTGGTAAGCATTACAGATAGCCAAGCGAAACCTTCCTTCAATGAAAAAATTCTTGCTGTTACTTTATGAAAGACCAAAATACGAAAAATCCCGTGTGGGTGAATGAGTGCATGTCCTGACAAATGGAGTCGTCTTCGATATTGGGTATCTTGCCATCAGATCATGACATCTTGTGAGTCTTAACTGGCCCGCAAATATCTTCATTATGGCAAGCGTTTTGTTTCTGTGAAGTGGTACATTTTAATCGAATGGAGGGACCCTCAGGGGGTTATATGCAAATCAATTATAAAAATTGCGCATAAAAAATACGAGCAAACACAGCAATATAAAATTTTATTTCGTAACGTATTCAACCGTTTACTCAAATAACTTAATTGAGCTTGTTTACTTCGGTGACAACTTCAGTCACACAAAAAACACATGAAACGCCATGAGAACACAAGAACTTACTCACAGGAGCTGAATCTGTAATGTCTACGAAGGAAAACAAATTCTGCAATCACTTTCAGAGATTAACTCTAAATGCAATAATAGGGGTTGAAAACACGTCTGAACAACCTGTAGGTATGTGATAAGGGGTTGGGTATGGAAATCATATCTAATTATTGAATTGTTGGCGGAAGTATCAGGATGTTTACAAACCGATTATTCAACCACAGACATTTTATTAAGCTTGGTACATGTCAGTGCTGTCGACATTGATATTTTTGTCGTTGATTTTGGTCGCTGCGACGGTAAAATCGTTACCAAATTGTGCATGGTTAAAAAGAACTTCCCGACTGTAAATGTCAATGCACAAGCAATGTGGCTTGGGAAAATGCCTTTAAACCAATTAATACAGGCTGAAACAGCCACGTCGTTTGTTGTATACGTAAACTTACTGACAAACAACTGTCTTCTGCAAATCTGTTTTCCTCGAGAATCAGGCACCGTTCCTGAGACATCAGCACCGACAACCGCGTGGAAACTATTTGTTATTGCATGGTTTGACGGCTCCGAAAACCACGGTTTTTCTTTTGCGTACAAAACTGCAAGTTTGGCAGCTATCGAAAAAATTCTTCTCGTCAAAATGAATGGTTTATACACGCACATCCCGAAAACAGAGCTTAAAATTCCTAATTGGCGATTTATGCGGGCTGTGGCAAAATAAACATCCATTGTTAAATGTTCATAAGATGCAAAAACATCGTTACGGTTATAAGAATATATCAACGTCAGGTTGTAATGACATAATTATAATATGC